ATCCAAGCAGAGGTTGATGGGGGAAGATCGTTTGCTTTTTATATATGGCCCGTCGTTGGCCGGCGACCTTCTCTGGCTAATGGATACTGTCTTGCCACCGAAATGGATCTGCTTGGAGATTAGGTAAACCCTCTGTATCCTCATCAATTTCTGCTCTGTGCAGGCAAAATGGAGCTTCTCTTGCTTGACGACTAACTTCTCTGACCAATGAAATTTCCTTTTTAGGCCGATTTCTACTATTATTTATTCAGCCTGCGAAAGGAGTCTGGTGGAGACTACCTCTGAAGGCTGCATGTTAGAGCAAGGACGTTCTATCGGTAAAGCTGGTTGGTTAGACCATGGAGGTAGAAAAAGAATCTTGTATCTCGTACTGTGTTGAAAGCTGAAGTGAAAAATAAAATTACGCACACACTGGTCACTCAGGGAAAGTTAGCCTCTACCAGGCTTGGGGAGGCGGCTGGACAGAGTAGAAATCGGCCAAATAGAGAGATAATGGTTTTTATTGTCCAAATGGTTTTTATTGTCCAAACAGTACCCGTGCAGTCGCAGCCTTACGGCTGAATTGATGCAGGGTATCCCATAATAATCAATACAAATCACAACAATTACAACAATTACAACATTCAAATAATACAAATGATACACACAGTCGCAAGGGTCTGTGCGGCTGCCATTCGGCGCCACAAGGTGACCTCAATACGACTTTCCCCAACCGAAGTTAGGTACCCATTCACACCTGGGTGGAGTGAGGAAATTCGTGTAAAGTGCCTTTCCCAAGGGCACAACGTCGGGGCGCATGTTCAGACATGTACCGGGTACGACTCGGAATCGAACCCGGGTCTCCCGGTTCACAGTCGATTGCTCTAACCACTACACCACCCGACGCCACCCTTAGATAATGATGAGATGCCGATGGAGTTTGTCCGTTGAGAGAACAGTTCGCCGCTTATCTCTCTATTTGGCCGATTTCTACTCTTTCCAGCCGCCTCCCCAAGCCTGGTAGAGGCTAGAGACTACCTCTGGACTGAAGGCGACGTTCTATCGGTAAAGCTCTTTGGTTTAGACTACAATCTTTGTATCTCGTACTGTGTTGAAAGCTGAAGTGAAAAACGCACACAATGGGCACTCATAATCTCCAAGCAGATCCCTCTCGGTGGCAAAAATTGGCCAGACAGTATCCATGAACCAGAGAAGCTCCGCGGCCACCGACCGTTGGTAGGGATCAGGACACAAAAAACGGCCATATATAAAAAGGTAACGATCATTCCCCACAACCTCTGCTTGGAGAGTAGGGCACTCAGTGAAAGTGGGACAGGTGGCTTTTGAGAGAACGTCGACTTGGGACCCCTTCATTGTCCTTGCTGGGGGTCAGTCTTCTCACATCTCTGCCCAGACGAAAACAAAACAAGCCAGCGGTTTGAAATCCTCTGAGGCCACAGCAAGTAATTTTTATGGATGACATCAACGCCCGCAATAATTTTCGCCTGGTTTTGGAAAAAAAACTCAAGAAATTTTGTTGCCTTCTGACAGTGGTCAACATGCCGAAAATGGTCAAAGATGTCTGTTACTATGCCGGAAGGTGGATGGCAGATAACTATGAAGAGAGGAGACAAGAATTTGAAGAAAAGGCTCTGGTTTAATGTTTTGTTTCTTACTTTGATGCAGTGATATGTGATGGTGGCTGTGTATATATGATGTTCCTACTGAATCAAAACCATTTGTACAATGATTGCGTCAAAATTTTAAAATGTAGGAACCTTGTTTTTTTTTCGGCCCGCCTTGTTCTTTTCTCGCCCGCTCGCATTAGATTTGGGGTCTGCGGAGGATGTCATCCATAAAATTTACTTGTGGCCTAAGAGCATTGCCATATGGTACAGGGAAAGTGCCAAATTCTCGGGCTGTTGCTAAGATGTTTATATTTTGGCTATTAACAGTTTATGACCACTTGTGTTCTTTCCCATGAATAAACGGGTGTGAAAGAGGAAATGAGGACGTGATAACATGAACTTACAGGGATTTCCTGGTGGATACTCGCCTTTTCATCGAACAGACGTGCAAAGCTCTATAACTAGTACTAGCGAATTATTGTCAATAATAGCAAATAACCTCCTTGGTTATGGGGTATTGTAGATGATACATCCCGACTGTTGAATTATTCTATTAGCCTCTACCAGGCTTCGGGAGGCGGCTGGAAAGAGTAGAAATTGGCCAAATAGAGAGATAAACATGCCGAGAGAGTCCGCTAGAGAGTACAGTTTGCCGCACCCGAAACTTGAAAATGTACTCTCTAGCAGACCAACTCCCTTGCATGTTATCTTTCTATTTGACAAATTTCTACTATTTTCCATCCGAAGCCTGGTAGAGTCCATTACTTATTGCAACAAGGGGAAATATGCCCTTGATTGCATGCAACATTTATTCATACCGACTTCTACTAAAAAGAAAAACAGCGAATGGTTTCTGTTTGCCAAGGAGGTTTATCCTGTATTTAGACCCTGTTCATACCAGACTTATATTTAGCGGTTTCAACCGGTTTTTCAAAAACCGGTTTTTATTTAACCTGGTGTGAACGCAAATTAACCGGTTTTTTAGGGGTTTAAATCCGATTTTGAAAAACCACCTCGGGAGGTGGTTTTTGAGGGGTTTTTGAAGGGTTTTTCCACCGAAAAGCCTGGTCTGAACGCTAAGGGTTTATTGAACCGGTTTTTGCGTCATAATTCCGGGGTCACGGGTCAGCATCCTGGCCGTGTGCGACCTGCAAGCTTTTTTGATCGCGTTGTTTTGACCAACTTTGAGTTCGTTTCCACTGTTTTTCCACGGTTTTTCTTCATTTTGCGATGGAATCAGCAAACGCAACCTGGTCGGCGAACGGGACGCTCCTGATACTTAGGTTTGGAGAGCACGGAGTCGCCAAATTCGAAAAAGCTAGGTGGGGGGGGAGGGCTCTACCGAAACAAAAATGTTGGAGGAGGCTGATTTCTTGAAGATAAAGGATCAGTGCTGCACTAAGGTAAAAAAACAAACTGAAGACGGCATACAAGCAAGAAGGCCAAGGACAACAATCAGAAGAGCGGGAGGAACGGTTATTCAAACTGCAGTCATGGCCGATTAATTATATTCACCGGACAGGATTTTTACAAAACCGGTTATCAAAAGTCTGGTATGAACGCTAAGGGTTTTAGCCGGGTTTTTGAAAAACCGGTTGAAACCGCTAAATATAAGTCTGGTATGAACAGGGTCTTAACCTTCTTGGTTTGAAATGCATGTATACCATTAGTCTGTTTTATTATATGGCTTTGTTTCGATAAGCATGTACAGGATCAGATTCAAAGAAGTAAAAGAAATGCAATAGAAAACAGACAACCACTGTTTGATTACCACGTTTCCTATCGTGGGGCTTGAATCAAAATTGTTATTTCCTGACATGTATTGTAGATTGTGTATTCGGGCGACGTTTTTGCAAGGTTAGACGTCGGTCTTCGCACTTTCATCTTCGTCTCCGCTTTTGCAATAATACACACTTTTCTTTCAGAAGTAGCGCATAATTTACAAGTTTCTTTTCATCTCCGTTTCCGCTTTTGCAAATAATACACACTTTTCTTTTAGGACTAGCGCATAATTTACAAGTCTCGAAGGCGCGCCTTGCGATTGTAGGAGCGGCAGAAGCCAAAAGGCGTCCGTCTCCTTGACAATGAAACTGAAGCCTTGAAGTGTGCGGCCTGTTTTTTACGACCTGCTAATCTGCCATTGACATGGGCGCGTCAACAAAACACGTCCTGCCGGACCGGCCCGGCCCCGCGCCCGGGGTGGCGGACTTCGCGCCTTGTCGCCAGGTCGGATGAGTGGTTTCGCGCCTTGTTGTGAGACGGAGAGGGTCGTTAGCACCTACTTGTGGGAAAATGGCGGCATCTTTGAGAGGGCTTGCAGGTGCGCTGGGCGGCATATGGGTCAGATTTGGGGCTAATGACGTGTGGATATACACACCCAGCAAAGCTCCTAAACCTAAAATGTGAATGCTCTTTCCAGGAGGTTCAAAAAGAGAACCTCCTTGCTCTTTCGAGGAGTTTCACAAAATCTGACTGTCAAATCTATGAGTATGACGCACTGTTTATAGTTGAAGATATTTCCCGTATTTGCGACCGTCTTTAGTCGAGCCATGGAGGTAGAAAAAAAGGGATGGTCGAGCCAAGGAGCCTATAGGGAAAACTCCTTAGTAGAACCAGGGACGTAGAAAATATTTTCTGAAGCACATTATTTTACAATCCAAGAGAGAATTCAATGAGGTTCTTTTGAAGCTCCTTGGAGAAATTGAGAAGAAGTTTGACTTGGTGTGAAAACAGCGGATGGTCGTAAAGGGGTTTCCCTCATCAAGGTTGTAGAAACTTGTCCCATCCCTTGACTTTGTACGTAATCTCCAAGCAGATCTTTCGGTGGCAAGACAGTATCCATTGGCCAGAGGAGTGTCCACTCCTCTGGCCAATGGATACTGTCTTGCCACCAAAAGATCTGCTTGGAGATTATTTGTACGTGCATGGTACGTACGTGCTACCTTTGTGCGGTCAACGAGGTTACTAGTATATCTGGATTCTAAACCACCTTGGTACGATCAAGAAAGTTTAAAATACACGTATATCTATACGTACAAGTGCAATAGAAATATTATGAAATTTGTGTTTGAAACTGATACATATTCATGATAATGATAATGGTAGAGATTGCACGTTTTCTAATCTTGAAAACTTCCGATCGTCAAACTATTTCTGAATTCCTTCGACACTGCTTGTGACAAAACATTACAAAACAAGCGAGCTCAAGCCCTATGCATGTAGAGGTATTTAGGAAGAATTATCCCTCTCATTTCTAAAGCATGTGATGTAATGTGTATTGAAAACTTGGGAGAGCCAAAACCTTTCTTCTCTTCACTATCCCTTTCGTCCTGTGAATTTTTACCCACCTTCCCTCTTTTAATATTGTGCAAACAAACAAAAAATGACTCAGTAAACAACTTCTGGTACCAGCTGGAGTTTGGTGATTTTCTGGATGTGAGAATTTTCCCACTGCCCGGGCCACAGGTGTCCCGCGGCCCCCACCCGCCTCTCCGGGCCATTGACTCCCCAGAACACCGCCCAATTATTCTCCCCGCCCGTGACAAGCCTCATGCATTATTCCTGGACCCAGCGTGAATATGAATAGTGCGCTGTGTGGTGTACTCCGCCGAGCATTATAAATAGCAGGGCACGACTGGACATTGGCAGTCAGTCAGAGAGCTAGCAGGACGGGAGAGAACTTCGTACAAGCGTGCCGACCAACTCGTCAAGATCGTAGCTTCATCTAGCCGTGTTGTTTTACTCTGTAGAAACGTGGTCCATCGTTGTAACGTCTAGCCAGTTTTCGGGAACCGATCGTACAATTTTTGCTCAAGTTAACGTTTCTGGCCTGCGGACAACCAACCGTCACTCTAACAAGTGGTAGAAATTCCATCACAGAACTGTAGCGGGAGCGAAGGTTTCTTTGAACACCAGACGTCCAGATCTCAGCCGGTCAAACCTTCCTCGTACTACCGTTGAGGAAAAGTAGGAGAGCCCGCCGTCTGAGAGGAAAAGTTTGCCGTGACGCAGTTTGAAAATCCGTTCCGTTATTTCCGTCTAGTCAGTCCGCCATCATGCCAGACTTCGAGAGCATGTCGCTTGTCCAGATGCAGGAGGAACTGTCCCAGATCACTCACGGGTTCGCCGAGGACATCGCGCCCAGCTCTCCCGAGCAGACGCCGGAGAACGACGCCGGGCAGAGGGAGCAGGACAAGCCGAGGAAGCCCAAGAGAAGGAGGCGGATGCTGACGGGGGTGAGCAAGCAACGACGCGCCGCCAACGCGCGGGAACGCCGCCGCATCCAGGGGGTCAACATGGCGTTCGTGGAGCTGAGACAGAACCTGCCCGTCTTGTCCAAGGTACGAAAATTTACCAGCTCTTGTAGTATCATGCTCTGTGTGCAACAAGATTTTGTTCAAACGTTTGACATGTTACAAAATGGAGAAACAGAAAGGAGAGACGTTCTTCTTTTTTCTGCTTTATCACGTTACTAAATCATGTTATGGCATGCTATGACCTGGTGTTTGTGTGTCAGCAGTGTTCAACATTACATTTAGAATCATCGTCCTCCAACGTGTGAGGTTGCTTAGCCCTAAAATCTGTCTTTCTCTTATCTGTGTATGGTAGAGATAAATACCGTAGAGATCTGTGGTGGAACTTGGACATACGTGTAGTCAACTTGTAACAGTCCTGTTTCTTACAAACTTTTGTATGCATGCAAAACTTTCCCGTCGAATAGTAAAGATTGTTTTCTAAATATATGTGTGTTTTGTTTTTTCTACAGGTAGAGGTGTCAAAGATAGAGATCCTGCGCCTGGCGTCCAAGTGGATCGCGCACCTGACCACCGTACTGCTGCAGGATGACGAGCGGCGGGGGTGGGACTCCTGCTCCGAGGACGGGTCCGGTAGTAGTGACGGTGACGGAGAGGCGGCCAGCCTGCACCCCAAGTCTACACTCAAACCAGAGGTGGGTTGTGTACTATACTATATAGTATAGTATAGTACTACTTGCTTCATGCCCGTGATCCAGTGCAGTTTTTAGGGCTTGGAAACCCTATTTTTCAAGGTCGATATAATTTCTAGCCACTTACCTACATTACTGAGTTGAAACTACACAATCCCAATGTATTTTTGCTGCTCTGAAATCGCATTTTTATGCCTTTAAAGTATTATTATTATATACAGCAAAATATGGATGTAAGCAAGGTTCTCACCAGGATTTTTCACAGCTAGGGGTCAGGTACAGAAGGGTAACTTTCGCCGCGCAAGTCTCGCATAATTTGAATCCCCAAAACATGACCACAGTAGGGAGTCTGGTGTTCTTCCCCAAAAAAATTTGATACTCATGACCCCCTGAGACCCTATTTGTCGCTTATTGAGGGGCAGATTCATTCTAAAGTATTATTTTCATTTTTTTGTAACATTTATGAAGGTTCTCCCCCAAACATTTCTGATGCATGTTTATGAAGTTTTTCAGCCGTAATAAACATCCCCTCTAGAATAGACAGATCATGTGTACAAATGTGTATTATACAGTCTTTTACGCTCTTGCTGGTAGACTAAACTGAGACTAACTATGTATGTTTAGACCTATATTCTCGGACAAATACACATATATAAGTCTTGAAGTCCTAGGCCACACACAGAATTGTATAGCATAAGTCAAACATTATTTCTTGTTACGTCGGTCCAGGTTTTTTGGCGTATCGTTTCTTGTGTTTTTACTAGACACCTACTCGTATACTTGCCATTGTTATACTGTAGTCTCTACCAGACTAACTACGCTGGCTATATATAGGAGAATATTTGCCAGTGGAGTTTGGCCACCTTGTAGGTTTGACTGGCCGCGCAGGAGGGAAAGAAACTACCTCCCCGCGGCCGGACTCCCTTGGCAAATTTTACTCTCTTTTTTTGCCGAATTCTACGATCCGTATTCCCGTAGAAAGGCCTGATGGAGGCTAGTAAGATACAGTTTTCCCAAGGACATTCCTTCAACTTTTTCTTGCTCCTTCTAGATCCGAGAGAACCTAGACGACATCTACACCATCCGGGATGACGACACCGACAACTTCGTCATCTGCAGAACCGGCGAAGAGGAGGAACTGGAGCATGCGCAGAGCCTGTCCGTGACGTCAGCCTTCTCGCCCGCCCTCCCCCTCTCCACGGCCACGTGCTGACGTCATCAATGTCACGACAGCCACAAAAGTTCGGTGAGTCGCTTTTGTCTGCTTTTTCTTTCTAGTTTGTTTTTAGCAGAGATATCTGACGCAAACACAAAGTCAGTCTCCGACTACTGGGACAAATTTGCATTCGAGAGACCTGTACAAATTCTGTGAAGTCAGTTTGTCCCTTATTCTTCCAAGTGAAGTGCTGAATATTTTCTACAAATTGTCGAATATTCTAGCCTCTACTAAGCTTCTATCTATTAGTCTCCACCAGACTCCTTTGCAGGCTGAATAGATAGTAGAAATCGGCCTAAAATGTAGCTGGGGAGTTGGCCGGCCATAGAGGGTCCAGTTTGCCTGCATGGCAGTTTCGATAGCGGCTGGAAGGAGTAGAAAGTGTCAAATATACCAGGGGGAGTTGGTCTGCCAAAGGAGAACAGTTTTTAGCAGACCAACTTCCCTGGCATATTATCTGTCTAGATGGCCAATTTCTACACTTCTAACCGCTTCCGACGCCTGGTAGAGGCTACCGTATTCTAGCTTTTCATAAAACTCACCCGAAGCCCTTTGATGTAATAAGAAAGGCCAACATTTCATTGACATGACACTAGTCTAACCGCAGGGCCGACGGTTCTGTGAAAGAGCAGGAAATGATTCATAGACCAGCAGAAGTACATTGACTCACTGAAAAACGTAATGTTTTATCCACTACAGCAAAAAATTGAAAATGTGCAAAATCCAGTTCTCTCTGTCACAGCAAGGACATTATGTCCTTGGTCACAGCAAAGTCATAAATGTTACACAAGTTTTGAATGGCATTTCACTGACGGTAGCAAAGTACGCTCTAGAAAAATGCTATGTACAAATCTAAACACATTTGAATCGAACTTTGATAGCGTTCCATTTTCAGATGAATTTTTGTGTGAAGTAGGGGTTTATTATAATCTTCGGTCACGATATTTGCACTCCAGTTTACGTTTGCAGTATCAATATTGTAATTAGCTGTCGATTTGTGTGAAATCCTCACTGAAGACGATTAAGTTTTGAACAAACCAGTGTTCATTTTGGGTGAAACAAATTTCTAAAATCGTCGAATTGTAGTAGTAAATAAAGAACACACTATGCCATAAAAGTCAGCAGCCAATGCGATTATAACCGGGTCATTATCATGCCAATGGGGGGTCGTTAATGACGGCTATTATTGCCCTAGTGACTTGTAATCATTTATTATCACCGTTTGCCACAGAAAGCATTTATGGTTATTGCCCGCGTTGCTATAGAGAAGGTGTCCAACCGAACGACAATTTTGCCAAGTTACTAGTATTTTTTTTCTGTCTTGTACCAAGTTTTGCACATTGTCAGATTTTTTAACCTCCTTGGTCAGAGCTAGGACATTGTAATGTCATTGGATAGAGCATTAGAGCCTGCAAGCATCAGAAGTCTTGTCATTTGGGAAGAATAGACCACCTTTGCCTGGTTTTATATGTAGAGTACTCTTTCATACGATTTGACAGAAACTTTGTTCGCTACAAGCTAAACATATCAAAGTTCCATGGAATGGTGATTTTAAACTAAAGACCACAGTTCTTGTAAGAGAAAATAGACTATGTAGGAAAAAAGACTAAAGACCACACTTCTTGTAAGACAAAATAAAAGTGAACGGATAGGATACCGATAGGGTGTGGAAAGTATAACGGAACTAGCGTTAATCGTGTAGCATGTTTTTGTGAGGCTTGTAATTTGCCAGTATCGACATAACGACGTGAAAACACCTCATGTCGTGAGCAACAATGTCGGGAAAACAGCTCAAAGGTGCCGTCTTCTAACGACGTGCCCTCCCTCTCCTCTGGTACCGGCGGCTTTTATCCTCTTGTGTCACGATTAAACAGTTCAGCACAAGCCTACTGCAGACAGAAGAAAGCCCTGTGTGTGATTGATGGTATTAAAATCCGAACGGTTGTTGGAGTGTCCCCCGTGAATTGCCATGTTTGAATAGGTGCAGAAATGCGGATCGGGCGGTCCTCTGTTGTTCTTGCTGGCATGCAGGATGCCCTGATAAATGTAAATTGTATTTGGCTCAAGAACAAAGACAGAAAATGCCGCGTAGATAACTTGAAACACACATATTCAGAAACGTACTAGTATACTGGCTGAGAAGATGTTCTTGACTGCAGAATGTAATCTCCAAGCAGATCTTTTGGTGGGGGTAAAACAGTATCAAATTGGCCAGTCTGTAACTATTTCCCCACCCATTCGTGGTCGTGGTAGCGACAAAAAAGGGCCATATATGAAAAGCAAACGATCTTCCACCATCAACCTCTGCTTGGAGAGTATGCAGAATGTTCGTTGCGCTTTCGGCCTAGCCAAAGCGTGGTTTCTCATATTATTTTCTTTTCTTCATCATCTTTACATAGATTACATTTTATTCATAGTTTTTAACAATAGATGTATTCTTTCATCTTTCAGGAGTGCCAAAATCCAGACTTCAACAGTTACCACGATTCCACACGAAAACCAAGCAGACGTAGAGACACCAATGGCGGGAAAGATCACCTGATGAACAGCTCGAGTTTGAATTTGAGTCAAAAGTCGTCTGCAAATCAAGATCATCGTCAGAGACTCTTCCTGATTACGCACTAGTCACCTTTCAAACACACTTTATCTCTGAATGTAATAGTATCAGAATGCACGGTTCTATACGTAGACAAGATCCTTCGGAAGGCAAAACAAAATACGTTGTATCGTTCTCTTTAGACTTATGGCTGATCGGTCCGAATGTGTATATACTTGCATCACCATAGCAAATGTAAAGATAGCGAAATAGCGTTTGAATATATTATATATAGACCATAAGTACCCATCAATTCTCTACATGGTCATGTTTTATAGTATGGATGTGCTTTAGGTTAGGATGAACATGTAAGGATAGAAGATCATACAAGGTACTCTGTTGTAAGATAGTATTGTTGTTATGAATATCGTTGTTTGTAAATAAGAAATTAGATATATTTCTATAGCCAATTTGCGAGCCAATCTTGATACGACAAAAATTGCGCTAAGGACAATGTTATATGATTTACCAAAATGTAAATTTTGACGACGTTTGAATTGACTGATTCACTTTTTTGGCCACCTGAAAGAAATTTACTAAAAATTTACTAGTCAATGATTGAGGACACTACTAGTATCTCTAGTATGGGTGTTTCGAAACAAACTATCAAGTTCCACCTACAAGTACAAGAATATCGAATAAACAGTTTTATTTGGTCCTTAAACATGTCCTATGTCCGTATTTGTGCTAATACATACTATCATAGCGTCATACAACGTTATATTTAGGTATTTAAGGATCAGTCTAGTACGAAGTACTCTTGCCAGAAAATAACAAATCTATTGCATAACAATTCATAAGTCAATCGCGTCAGCAAAATCCTAGTCTCTAAGCAGATATTTGGGTTGTTGATTGTTTTTTGTATGTTTTTAGTTTTTTTTTATGATGCTTTTTTTTTGCACTGGTACGTTGGCATAAAAAATAACAGTGCAAAAAAGAAAGTCCGATAAAAAAGCCTAAAAACACGTTTACTCAAACCTCTGCTTGGAGAGTAGCAGAATCCTACCAATGCCATCCACTTGTTGTTTTTCAAGCTGTATCTGAACGTTTTCTGCCTGACGTAACTCCGAAGAAAACTACCCTGAGAGTGCACAAGAACAAACCGAGTCAGGCTTATTTGTGTCCCACAGCGCGGCCGGCCTTTATTAGAACACGTGCTGTCGGCCCGATGTGCACGCCTAGCCGCTGAGCCCTCTGTACCTGCCCGACCATTGTTCCCGATTTTCTGGCACCCTGGCCCCTTACAAGTCTGAACGAGCAGGGAAAGAGTAAACACTAGCATTTCCACCAATCTAGCATGTCAGGAAATACGTTGTGTCTTTAGATAGAGTAATTTCACGTTTCTTTCATTCATGTTCCCGATTTTCTGGCACCCTCGGCCTTTAGTTTACAAGTCTGAACGAGCAGGGAAAGAGTAAACACTGGCATTTCCACCGATCTAACATGTCAGGAAATACGTTGTGTCTTTAGATCTGTATCTGTATCTGTATCTGTATAGCCGGTATAACCGCCTTTCGGCGTAACACACCAGCTTCGCAGGCACGCGGCGCGGCGGCAGCTGGCTATATTACACCGATCGACTTGTTACACCTAACCCTTGAACTTCTAGCTCTAGACATTGTTTAAAGCTATCTATTGACAGTGCCCCTACTGTACTTGGTGACAGTGAGTTCCACTCTGCGATAGTTCTAGGAAAGAATGAATTCTTGAACACCTCAATCCTTGGTTGATAACTCTGGTACTTGAATGCGTGGCTATTTCTTGTTCTCTTCTGAGCTGGTATTAGGTACTTAGTAGTTGGGACATCCACCAGTTTATTAGTCATTTTGTACTATTCATTGCATAGTCTAGACATCTTTCTTCTGTCTTCAAGTGAGGTCCACTGTAGGTTTCTTTTCATTTCCGTGACACTAGCACCTCTTACATAGTTGTTCATACAGAATCTTGCAGCTTGATTCTGTACCCTTTCCAATTTGTCTTTGTCTTTCTTTGTA